ATCCCAGAGTCCTGGGATCGAGCCCCGCATCGGGCTCTCTGCTCAGCGGGGAGCCTGCTTTCTCCTCTCTCTCCCTCTGCCTGCCTCTCTGCCTACTTGTAATCTCTGTCTGTCAAATAAAAAAAAAAAAAAAAATCTTTAAAAAAACATTTGTGAATCTAGGCGATTTAGTGGGAAGATCTTGCAGAGGTTCTAAGAAATGGAATTCATAAGTACTTTAAAAAAAAAACTTTGGAATAATCTGGAATCTGTAAAGGACTAATAGATTCACATTGTTATATTTATATCACACTGTTGAACAAATACTGAATTAATGAACAGGAAAATATTACATATGTATAAGAAGCTTTGAGAAACCATAAACTTCTATTTCAGCACATTTATGATGCTATATTTCAACTAGAATTTTGGAAAACTTTTTTTTTTTTTACATTAAGCATGTGTTTTATTTCAAGTTGTCATGTGGTCACTAATGTAAAGCATTTAAATTTCCTTTTATACAAGAGCTGTGAAGTCACAGGGGGAACTAATAACAAAAACCTGGAACGAATCCAGTCTTCTCCACTTCAATGAATGGTAATTCCATTCCTCCAGATGCTCATCCAATTAGCCAAGAAATTCCTTCAGCTTTTGAACTATACATTAAGTTCAGGTCTTTCTAATCAGCTGAGCTCTTCCCCAGGTCAAGTCACTATCATCTTTCTTATCTGGATTACTGTACTAGCTGGTCTTGTTTTCACCCGTGCCTCATGTACAGCCCCTTTTCCATCTGATAGAGTGATTCTGGAAAGAAAAAAAAAAGTCAGATTGTGTCAGTTCTGCTTCCAGGTTTCTTAGTTTACTAAATAATACCTAAACAAAACACCACAGTCCTAAGGATCTTATATGATCCTGGCCCCTGGCTAGCACTCTGACATTATTTCCTTTTTAATTAATTAATTTTTTAGAAAGATTTTTATTTATTTATTTGAGAAAGAGAGCTAGAAGAAGCACAAGCAGTGGGGAGGGGCAATGCAGAGGGAGAAGCAGGCTCCCAGCTGAGCAGGGAGCCCTATGTGGGACTCCATCCCAGGACCCTGGCAGAGGCTTAACCCACTGAGCCACCTAGGCATCCTGACCTTATTTCCTTTTATTCTCCTTCTTGTTTCCTATGTTCCAGCTACATTAGCCTCCTTGTTTGTTATTCCTTGATCACCCCAGGTGCTTCTTATATATAATTCTCTTTTCCTATTGTCTCTTCCACTAGATATCAAATATTTCATTTTCTCATCTCTTTTAAACCATTGCTCAAATTCACCTCATTGAAGAGGGTTTCCCAGACCACTTTACATAAAATAGCACTTGCTTCCATCTTTCACAATCTATTCCCTCATTCTGGTTCATTTTTCTTTAGAGCACTTAGTACCTGATGTATAAAATATATTTGTTTGTCTCTCTCAGTAGACTGTAAGTTCCATGAGGGAAGTTTTTTTTTTTGTTGTTGTTGTTCTTGTCCTTTGTCACATCCTTAGCACCTAGAATGGTGCCTGGCATATAGTAGGTCCTTGATAAATATGTATTTGAAAAAATATTTATTTGAGAGAGAGAGTTAGTGAGAGGGGGGAGGGAGAGAGAAGCTGAAGTAGACTCCATATTGAGCACAGAGCCTGATGCGGGGCTTGATCCCACAACTGGGAGATCATAACCAAGAGTTGGATGCCTAACCAACTGACCCACCCAGGCGTCTCTCAATAAATATGTTTTGAATGAATAAATCTTAAGCGCATTCTTGAAAAGAATACTTTTTATGAAAAAGTTGTCCACTAGATGGCATTGCTTTCAAACTTTATATAAAAGTAAGGATCTCCTCTGTTGTTACTCTAGCCAGGAAAGATCTTTGTGATGAAGATTGTCACAAGAAATTGCTACAATTAGTGTGAGGCATGTAGATACTACATGTGTTTTTGGTTTATGTTTTATATACATTTTTAGATGTTTTTTCTAAAACACAAAATACTTGGAGAAACTGATTATAGAAAGCATATTGGTATATAAATAACCATTTGATACAGTTATTTTGCCTGGCAACTGTGAATAAAGTCACTTTGTGTTCATACATTGACCACCTTCCTTCTGAGGGGACTTAATGGAATGAGAGAGCAGTAATAAGTTCCAGAGCTTTTTACCACTCAAGGCACCAGTGGAAATTCAGCCTAGTGTTGAAGGCAGAAAATTATTATTGTCTGTCATTTGTTCAGTTGTTGTTGCCAGTGAGTTAGGTACTCACTGATTGAGGTAAGTACTCAGTACCTAATCAACCGGGCATCCAATTTTGAAAGACTTCCATGTTTCTGGCAGATGTTGCCACACCTGTCTTATTAAAAATCAGTGGGTCGCAAGCATCAGAGTTTTTAGCTGACTCTCCTGGCTCCAAACTCAGCAAATAGTTGCCCTAATCAAGAAATTTACACATTTTCCTCCAATCCTTAAAATGTGCCTGTCCTGCCCGTGCCAGTGGCATCTCATTTTTTCCTGCTTTCATCGCTTACCTCATTTCCTCCGTTATTCCACCCTGTTCGTCTCTCTCTCATGCACTTCCTCTGAATGCTCACTTGATCCATTTTGTTCTCAGTCTTTACACATCTTTTGGTAATTTTTCCTTTTCCTGTTCAACCTATTGATGCCTCCCCCCCCCAAATCGTTTAAAATATACTTTAAAAATATTATTGACCAGTTTTCTCTCTTTATTTTAGATTTTTCTTTTTCATTTTTGATTATAATATATGTGAGGAATTTATTTTGTTAATCTCTTTAGCGTTCTCAGCCTCTTCTTGGGACTCATTAACTATCTACAAATAAAAACACTGTTCTTTGTACTTTTGTGCCTTTATTTTTATTTATTTATTTAAAAGATTTTATTTATTTATTTGACAGAGATCACAAGTAGGCAGAGAGGCAGGCAGAGAGAGAGAGAGAGAGAGAGAGGAGGAAGCAGGCTCCCTGCCGAGCAGGGAGCCGGATGCGGGGCTCGATCCCAGGACCCTGGGGAACATGACCTGAGCCAAAGGCAGAGGCTTTAACGTACTGAGCCACCCAGGTGCCCCTGTACTTTTATGTCTTTAAATGGAACATAAAGTATAGGGTGATTTTTGTGTTTATAGTCCTTTCTCCCAGTCATCCTTGGATGGTTAAGAATCAGGCTGATAAAGTATCATTTTAAATAGGAGGCAGTTATACTCAAAGATTTACACTTTTTTATATTTTTAACCAGAAACATTTGAAGTTTCTAGTACTGAGCTCCATGTCTTAAGCTATTAATGGTGATACTTGCATGTGTTTGGCCTTGTCACCCTCCTGCACTTGGCCTGCCCCATGCATTAGAGCTGGCTTTGAGTTCAGAATGTAGAAAATCCTTTTTTTCCACTAAAGAAATACTAGACAACATTTATTTGTTTAGAAGATAATTCCCTGGGGAGGGGGGAGGTAACAGATGGTGGAGGAGTAGGGACCTAAAGATCATCTAGTCCCAGGAATTCAGCTAGGGAGTTATCAAACCATTCTGAGCACCTACAAACTCAACAGGAGATTGAGGAAAAGAATAGCAGCAATTCTATGAATGGAAAATAATGTCCTGTTTACAAAGAAGTTATTAGATAGCATTTATTTTGTATATATTACATTTTAATTTAGAAGGCATGTTTTTCTGTTCTGAGACGTGGAGACTTAACTGATCTTTGATTGTTAGAATGATAGTATTATATATTTGTTCAAATATATTCCTTTCGTTCATGATGAAATAACTTTCTTATTTACTAAACATATCTTACCGCTGCTAGTCAAATTATCATTTATTAAAAAACATATCTATTCCTAGAAAGATAACCCTCAGATACATTGTTGCTTACTTGACCTTAAATGAGATCTGAAAGCCCTTGCTGGTCTCATGCTCTGGCTGTTGACCTCTTTTAGTGCTTATAAAGGAAGGTTTATTTTGCTTGTACCTGCTCTATTTTTGTTCCAGTGTTATAGCTTATGAGTTTCCTAAGTAAAATTCATTAGAAGTTCAGCATTATGGCCTTAAATATCATTAGTTATTTTCACTTGTGTTATTTTTCTCCCATACAGACTGGTTGAGATAGCAGAATCTCGTTTTCCCAGATATTTTGACACTGAAGAAAAATTGCTTTTGACAAGCAGTAAGGTTCATCTTTATCGGGAACTCAGCTGTGATGAAGTTCTACAAAGGTATGCTGCTTTAGGTTTTGGTATTTTAGTAATACTTTGAAGATTTATTTTTTGTTTTTTATGTTTTCAGCTGAGTGAAAAAAGTTTCTACATATGTATTAGGGTTATGGGAAATAATTATTTCAGAGTTCTTTATTTGCTACAGCCTGTTGGATGAAATGTTTCTTTAAAAATGAAAACATACTGAATGAGTGAAATGTTTTAGATTTAATTATTTTTTAAAAAAGATTTTATTTATTTATTTGAGAGAGAGAGAATGAGAGAGAGAGAGAGAGCATGAGAAGGGGGAGGGTCAGAGGGAGAAGCAGACTCCCCACCAAGCAGGGAGCCTGATGCAAGACTCGATCCTAGGACTCCAGGATCATGACCTGAGCTGAAGGCAGTCGCTTAACCAACTGAGGCACCCAGGCGCCCCTAGATTGAATTATTTAAGGGGTGCAATTATTATCTATTTTCCATTAACAGGTTACCCCCAAAATTCAGCAGCTTAAAACAGCAAACATGTATTATCTCACGTAGTAACAGAGGCTTAGGTGTCTGGGAGTGGTTTAGTTGAGTGTTTCTGGCTCAGGGTTGCAGAAGAGGTTGCAGTCAAGCTGTTGGCCAGGGCTGTGGTCATCTCAGCCTCAAACGGGGCTGGAGAATCTTGGAGAATTCCAGGGTCACTTGTGTAGTTGGCTGGAAGGCCTCCCTTCCTTGCTGGCTGTTGGCCAGAGTCCTCTGTTCTTCACCATGTGGGCCTCTGCATCAGGCTGTTAATAGCATGGCAACTTGTCTCCCTGAGAGTGATCTGAGAAAGGGGGCAAGTGAGAGAGAGCCCAAGATGGCAGGTGTAGTCTTTTGTAACTTACTCTTAGAAGTGACATACCATCATTTTGTCATATATTGTTGGTTATATAGACCAACCCTGGTAAATGTGGGAGGGGACTGGACAAGGCTGTCAGCACAAGGTGGGAGTAAATGGGGACCATTTTGGAGTTGGGCTAGGAAAAGCAGTTTTCTCCTAAAATTAGCAGTATCATAGGAGAACCAGAGAATGAAATTAAATGAAAACATTTTGGTGCATTTTCAAAAAGAGTGCTGTATGTATAGAAGGGCAGGACGTAAGTTACGATTATTGAATACTAGCAATCATTACTGTAACTTAGGGAAGAACAGTTTGTTGTCATTGTTTTTAAGTTGGTTAATCTTTGCAATACCCTGTTTTATATTATATCTTAAATTTATCTACTGTTTTGCAAATTCTACTTTTATAGGATTGAAACTTTGGAAGAAGAAATTATTTCAAAGGGAGTTAAACTTGTAATTATTGACTCTGTTGCTTCTGTGGTAAGAAAGGAGTTTGATACACAACTTCAAGGCAACATGAGAGAAAGAAACAAGTTCTTGGCAAGAGAAGCATCCTCCTTGAAGTATTTGGCTGAGGAATTTTCAATCCCGGTAAGTTTTTTCTTTTTCTCTCTTTTCCCCTTGTTCTTTGTTTTCTTTTATGTTAAGTTCACTGACTTATATCAGCTAATATAAATAGAATATCAGCTAATATAAATATCAGAATATAAACATAAACATAAATATAAATATAAATATCAGCTAATATAAATAGAAGAAAACGTAAAACAGATGATGTGTTAAAGGTAGCATGGTCTAATTGCTATAGTAAACATAACCATCTTCTTAAATTCATTCATCTGTTGAGATTATCTTTTTCACAGTTGGAGTCTGAAGCAGAATTAAATGTTGTTTGTAAAAGTTCCTGTATAGTCAGTCCTTTTCTCCATCTCATTGTTGATTCTCTGTGTACGTTTTGAATTACTTTTGTCACATCGAGGTAAATATTAACTATTAAAACTACATGAAATTGCCTAGGTCTATTTCTGTAGTTTCTTTTATGGCAGTATTTGTCAGTTTTATAAATATTTTAGATTTAGATATTATGCTATTATGGTTGGTACTGTCTTGTACTCTGTAGGATTTGGTTTGCTCCAAATGGCCAGAGGTTGACTATCACATGTTATATTGGGAGTGATAGTAATGAAAGTGTCAGTAAGGGGATCTTGGATGATGACTGTTGACCCCACTTTCCATAGTGGGGACTGTGATGAGTAAATCTGAAGATGCAGGTATCTTGCAAATGTTTGTGGTAGGTAAGCTACAAGGTTTAAGCGCAGACTGATGGCTTTCCCAGTAGCAGTGCGTAGGAGAGTTCTGCTTATTCTTCAGCCTCAACAGCATTTTGTATTGTCAGGCTTTTCAATTCAATTCAAGACATCATCTCAACAGAAGATAAGAAAATTCCTTAAACTGAGATAAGATTTAGTTATGATTTTATAATTTTTAGATCGTGTTTTGGAAAATTAAAAGATTGGATCTTTGTAATGTGTACCAAGATGGTAAACTACCACACAGCCTTTGTGATTTATAAGCCCAAGCAAGAAGTCAAGGAAGAAAATGTGGCATGTAAAAAGTTCTACATTTCTTAATGGCTTTTTAATTCATATTTTGGATTATATGATGTAATTCCTGGTGAAGTCAAGCGTTGTAAAGTTTATCCCAGATGACGCTCATCTTTTAAATTTTATTGTAGTTGGTTAAAATGATAAATCCAGATCCATGTTTTCCCTGGCCAAGGGAATTTGAAAAATATTTTGTAGGGTTACTTGATTGTTTGGAAAAGTTAAGTATGTATACTTATTTTATTAATTCATGCTGGTTGTTGACTTAATCCTATGTAAAATGTAAAAATTCACTTTTTAAAAGTTGTATTTGTTTGCTTTTAAATAGTAGTTGTAGGCTAATATTTTTCAGTTTTTTTCTGAGGTAATTTATTTTCCTAAGTGAGAAAAGCACTCTGCTTTTCTTCATTTTTATTAGTGCCCTCTGAAAGAATAGGTACTTATTTCCATATCTCTCTGTCTTTGCCTTTGTTTTTCTCTTTAGAGATAAAAGTGCAGATGTAATATGCACTTCTGTAACACAAGCTGGTAGTGGTTTTTGTGAAAAGTTAGTATTAGTTTTAGAAGGATTTTGAAAAATAATTCCTTTGGGAAGTGTGGGAATTTTTGTAGCCTAATTACCACATTTAAATGAAAAATCATGAACTTTTAAGTTTTTAAGCTGTGCTTTGAATAGGTGACTAGACATGGACTAACTAGCTGAAAACAACATGTCGCTATGTAATTTATTCTCCCTTTCAAAATCGCAGACCATGTGCCTCTTTATAGTTCCTCAAACATTCCAACAAACATTCCTGCTTCAAAAAGTGTTATTTCTCCATCTGAAATATTTCCCCTCTAAATATCCATATGATTTCTTCTTTCCTGTCATCTTATTAATGAGGACTTTCCTGACCATGTAAGTATTAACCACATTCCCTGCCTCCCCATCTCCCTGTATGCTTTGTTTCTTCATTGCACTTTCACCCTCTAGCATGTTATATATTAATGTTGATTGTGTATGTGTCTCCTCCACCCCACAGAGTGGTCACAAGGACTGTCTACTTTCTTCACTACTTTATTCTCAGCAGCAGAAATAGTGCTTAACACAGAGTAGGTACTCAGTAAATATTTTCAAATGTATGAATTGCAGATACTGCTTTTTTCCTTGGACTTGAGTTAGTCTTCTTTATATTGGCACTGTACTTAAGTTTTTAATATTTGCTTTTAGCTTTATTTTGATCCTATCTTTAATATTGTTTATTATTTCTGATAGTAATAAAATACAATATTAGGTAGCAGAATGTCTTATCATATAGGAGCTGTACTCAGATTACACTGGCATCTTATAGGAAGAAAAAGAATTCTTAAGATTCTTAAGCTTGGGAACGTCTTTAGAGATCTATATAGTGTCAGAAAGCCAGGAAGTAGACAAGATTCTACTTCAGTTTAGTAGAACTATGGTAGATGAATGTCTGATGGCCTCTGAGGAGTAGGCAGGAAGCCAAGCATTCCAGTCTGCCCTCTGGCTGTGAATCTGAGATGGTGGACTGGGCCAGGACCATGCCTGGGAATTTGACACTCTGGATATCATTTCATTCAAATAAGACTAAAGAGTAAAATCACCTTAGGTGATGGGATGTGTACTTAATTGAATTTTAAAATTTCTTTTCAGTGAACATGCAATACTTTTAGTAATGGGGAAAAGCTTAAAAGTGTAATCTATATTAAATTTGAATGCCACATTACATATGCTTGTATATGTTTTTATGCAAGGATGCCTGCACACATGAAGATTTCAATATTCTCTCTTTGTGATGGATTAAATAGACAAAATGTTAGCAAATTAAATCCAGAAAGTCAGAAGACCTGAAAAACGTAGCCAGCTTGATCTAATTGACATTTACAAAATGTTCCACTCACTTTTTGCAGAAAATGCATTTCTTTCAAGTACACATGACATATTCACCAAGATAGACAGTATTCTGGGCCATAAAATAAAACTCAATAGATTTAAAAGGTTGAAATGATACAGTGTATGTTTTTTGACCCACAGAAAGAATTAAATTAGAAATCACTAATACGTCTGTAAAAATCCCCAAATATTTGGTAATGAAGCAAAAACACTTCTAAATAACCTATGTGTTGAAGAATAAATCACAAGAGAACTTAGAAAATATTTTCAAGTAAATCAAAATGGAAATACAACATATCAGAATTTGTGAAATGAGGCTAAGTCAGTGCTTACAGGGAAATTTATATAGTTAAATGCTTATGTGAGAAAGAAAGATTACAAATCAATGATCTAAGCTTGTAAGAACTAGAAAAAGAACAAATTAAACCCAACATAAACGGAAGGAAGGAAATCGTAAAGAGCAGAAATCAATGTAATTGAAAACAAAAACAATGGAGAAAAATAATCAGTGAAATAAAATGCTAGTTCTTTGAGAAGACCAATAAAATTAATAAAACTTTACCCAAACTGACCAGGAGAAAAAGAAAAAACAAATTAGTAATATCAGGAATGAAAGAGGGGGATATCCTTATAGATCCTATAGACATTAAATGATATTAAGAGAATGTTATAAATAGCTTTATTCCATTAAGTTTGATAGCTGAGATGAAATGAACAAATGCTTTGAAAGACACAGAATACTTACTGAGAAAGAAATAGATAACTTAAATCATCCTATATCTGTTAAAAAATTGAATTTGGGGGCACCTGGGTGGCTCAGTGGGTTAAGCCTCTGCCTTCGGCTCAGGTCATGATCTCAGGGTCCTGGGATCGGGTCCCGCATCGGGCTCTCTGCTCCGCGGGGAGCCTGCTTCCTCCTCTCTCTCCCTATCTACTTCTGATCAATGTCTGTCAAATAAATAAATAAAATATTAAAAAAAAAAAATTGAATTTGTAGTTAAAAATCTCACAAAGAAAACTCTAAGTCCAAATGGTTTTACTGGTAATATCCACCAAACATTTAAAGGAGAAATATCAATTCTATACAAGCCTTTCAGAAAATTTACAAGAAAACTACAGGCCAATGTCCATTATAAAAATGAACACAGACATTCTTAACAAATATTAGCAAATTAGATCCAGCAATAAATAAGAAGGGACTGAGTGGAGCTTATTTCAGGAATGCAAGGTAGATTTTGAATGCAACATTAAAATATAAAATCCATCACATCAACATATTAATAAAAAATCATCTCAGTAGGTGCAGGAAAGAAAACCAGTCAACAAAATTCATCAGCTGTTCTTGATGAAAACTCTCAACAAAGCGGAGTAGAAGAGAACTTTCTCCCTTGATAAAGGGCATTTACAAAAACCTTCAACTAACATCATACTTAACTTATACTTAGTGGTAAAATACTATCCTTCTTCCCAAGATTGGGAGCAAGGATAAGATAGCCCAATCTTACCATTTCTAATCAGCAGTGTACTGTAGATCCTAGCCAGCATAATATGGCAAGAAAAATAATTGAAGTACATTCAGATTAGGAAAGAAGAAATAAGACTTATTCATAGATCATATAATTTTAGTAGAAAACCCAAAGATTCTACACAAAAAAAGAAAGCTACTGGATCTAACAAGTGATTTTGCGGGATATAGATTATACAGAAATCACTTGTTTTTCTATATGCTAGTAATGAACAATTGGAAATGGAAATTGAAAACCTGTAACTTTTTATAAGAGCACCAAGAACATGAAATACTTAGTGATAAATATGACAAAATGTATGTAATATTTTAATGCTGAAAAGTATATAACATTCATTAGAGAAATCAAAGAAGACCTAGATAAGTGAAAACATACCATGCTCATGGATTAAAGATTCAATACTGTCAAGATGTCATTTCTTTCCAAATGACTGTATGTATTTAACACACATCCCAATCAAAATCCCAGTAGGCTTTCTGGTAGAAATCAACAAGGCGACTGAAATTTATGTGCAAGAGCAGAAGATTGAGAATAGCCAAAACAATTTATAAAAAGAGGAGTATAGAG